GAGATGATATGATTATGTTAAGATTTGCATTCATATGGATATTGGACTCCTGCTGTTCACCTTGGCCTGCTCCAGGACTCCTGGAGAGTTCCCATTGGTTGGGGAAGTACAGTAGGAGGGAATTCCGGGGGAGGAACTTCCTCTGGTGTGTGTGTGGGGGGGGGGTGCCGCGTGGGGGCGTTAAGGGGCATTGGCGGCATTTTCAAATAATAAAGGTTGTTCCTGCTTGAGTGGCTCGTGATTTTGTGTCTAGCCAGACTGCAGCACAGTATCATAATAATAATGAATAAATATAGAATAATGTGACTATATTTCCATTAAATACTCACATTTTCTTTATTTGCAGTTAAACTACACATTGCATCTTTCTTTTTATAGCCATGGTCCAAAGCATTGGGAGTGCTACAAAGCAGCTGTGCCTAAAAGACATTTTTTGCTGAGAACATCCAGCATCCTTGAGCCATGAGTTAATTTGAAACCCTCTGCATCCCCCCCAAGAAACAAACCCAAAAAAGAGATACTCACTGGGCTGCCTTTCATAGCATACTGGTGGTGATTCCTGTATATTAAAGCAAACAACTAGGTAAGCCCCAAACACCTCAAATTCTCTAATTATTCAATAGGTTGAGGCATCCAACTTTTTCCTTCCTTTCTTCCAACTAGCCCTAGTCCTAGCAGATAAGTCTCTTCCTATAACAATACATATTCTCTGTGGTAAATAGTAAGACCCAAGAAAAAGGCTCTCATTTCATGGGCATAACTACATCTAAAGAGGTGTACCAAAGATGCACAAGTTTATTTTACCTTTATTTCCTCCTCTCTCTTTTCTTTTCCTGAGGTATGGGGATCAAACCCAGGGACTAGGCAAGTGCTCTGCCCTGTGAGAAGTGCTATTATTACTTCCATGTTTTGTATAAAGAAACTGGGGTCCATTGAAATTAAGAAAGTTGTCCGTTATAGATAGTAATATTGCAATCTACTAGAATCCAGACACTCTCATTCTAGACCCTGTAACTTGTACTTTTAATTACTAAGACTTACACTTTTCACATGTAAATAGAAGCCAACTCATATGCACATGTACCATTTTCCTTTATTTTTGAAAGATAATTCTGACTCAGCTCAGGGTATAGCTCAGTGGTAGAGCACTTGTCTACCACTTGGCCCTGAGTTCAATCCCCCGCATAGTGGGGGGGGAAGTAATTCTGATTGTGTGTGATGGTTAAAATGAATAGCCTTCATTTAACACCACTATTTAGATCTAGAAAACTTAAAAGTTGTTCAAGTCCAGCATTGAGGCCTTGAAGCCTACTTATACCCAAAGTGAAATTCATACTATGTGGAATCTGCATAAGATAAAATCCCTATGAACAGTGCTGTAAGATTTTAAGCATGGGGTTCATTTAGCAACAGAACTTACATCCTAGCTAACTGTACTTCCTGAGGCCCTGAAGAATCCAAGTGACCTGAAATCAAATATGAAGAATCAGTAAGAGCCATTATTCTTGTCCATGCATCCTGTTTTCCCCTCTGATTTTCTTTGTTACCAGTATGCCACATTAATTTCAAAGGCTAAACTCTAGAACACAAAGCTCTTAACTGTTACCCATCTTATGGAACAAAATACCAGGGTACAAAATTCAATTTCATGGAAACTTAAAAATTTACATGTACTACTCAAAGAAAAAATACTGGGAAAGCTGGGAGAGCTGTGGCACACACCAGTAATCCCTGCAGCTCGCGAGGCTGAGGCAGAAGAACCACAAGTTCAAGACCAGCCTCAGCAACTTAGCAAGACCTTGACTCAAAAAAACAAAAAAGGGGCTGTAGCTGTAGCTCAGTGGCAGAGCACTTGCCTAGCATGCATGAGGCACTGGGTTCGATCCCCAGCACCACATAAAAATAAATGAAATAAAGGCATTCTGTCCATCTACAAATATAAAAACTTTAAAAAACAAACAAAACAAAACAGAAAACCTCTGAAATAGTGATGGAGTTTTTTTTATTCATGAGTAGAAAAGAAAGGTTATTATGCAGGAAATCCAAAATTAGAGGAAATGCTAGAATGATTGAGTAATGAAGCATTTTTAGGGGTATAGACCTATAGAAGCATAAGAATTAACTGACAAAGTGTTTATTTATGCTGATTTCTTTGCCTCTGATGAAATTAAACCAAGAAACAAAACTTTTCTGGACTTTCTTTTATACCACTAATCTGTCAATAAAATATATTTCCTTTTATCTAACTTTTTCAAATGTAGAATGTTATTGTTTTTATTAGTGTTCCTATTAGTGTTATTCTTTTTCTTTTCTCATTGGCTTAATTATTCACCTCAAACTCTCTAATTAAATTTGGCACAGTAACACACGCCTATAATCCCAGCTACACAGGAGGCTAAGGCAGAAGGATTGCAAATTTGAAGCCAGACCAGGCAACTTAGTGAGGCCCTGCCTTAAAATAAAGCAAAAAAGGGCTGAGGATGTTGCTTGGTCTCTGCAGATGTACCCAGAGGCATTCAAAGTGCAGTCTTATTAAAAAAAAAAAAAAAAATCCTTGCCAGGTGCAATGGCACAATCCTGTAATCCCAGCAACTCAGGAGGCTGACTCAGGCAGATTACAACTTCAAAACCAGCCTCAGTAACTTAGCAAGGCCCTAAAAACTTAGTGAGGCCCTGTCTCAAAATAAAAACTAAAAAGCACTAGGGGTATTGCTCAGTGGTTAAGCACCCCAGAGTTGAATTCCTGGTACTTCCTGGAACCAAAAAAAAAAAAAAAAATCCTCTAATTACTCTCAAAATTCCAATTCTTCAGGTAGATTGTCTACCTACTTTCACCATCTTCCATTTCTATCATACTTCCCTGTCTTCTCCCTTAAATTATTCTTCCCTTTGAGGCCTTTACCTCCCTTTTCCCTACCAGTTTCATCAAGGTCTGCAGAAGTGGTAAGGTAAGTGGCAGACATCTCTCCACTGCTGAAATTCGTAAGATCAAGGCAACGTTTTGGAGTTCCTCTGTTGAGACATAATAGTACATCAAGATTCCCATTAGGTTGTAATATCTTGAAAGGCAAAGATCCTTCATTTGAAATACCTCTCAATGACCATCACAAAAATCTAAAAAGTATCTAATTGCTTTCTGGAAATATCAGACTTCATTGAGAAAAATCTCTCAATTTTTCTCTATTCCATCATGTGCCTCATTTTCTCTTCATCAAGATATTGAGACAGGATTTAAAAAAAAAAATTAATGAGGCCCAAAGTTTATTAACTGAGTGAAATCTTGAATCCATATCCTCTACCCAGTTTATGATGAATACATAGATTTGATTTTTTCCTCCAGTCTCTAGTACTTTTCAAATACTTCTCCTTATTTGCTAGTGAGGCATAAAAACATCATGACAGTTTTTGGTTTTTTTGTTTTGTTTTAGTTTTTGGTGGTGCTAGGGATGGAACCCAGATGACCAGAATTTAAAGTACAAGAACAATAACATTAATATTAATGCTAATAAAGCAGCCAATTCATAACAGAATATTTTCAGACTTTACCCAGTCATTACATTATTTGATTCTCACAAGATCCTGTGAGAGGGGGCTGGGATACAGCTCAGCTGGTAGAATGTTTGCCTCGATGCACAAAGCCCTGGGTTCAACTCACAACACCACACACACACACAAAAAAACAAGATCCTAGTGAGATAGTTTTACACAGAAAAGCAGCCTGAGATTCAAAAGGGTCACACAGTCAACAGTGGAGCTGGGACCTAAATCCTGATCTTTGAGCTAGGATAATTAAACAAACAAGCCTGTTTGTAAAGCAAAGGAGATAAGATATAGAAATAAAAGTGGGTTTACCCAGACAAAATGCTTAGATTTGCAGAATCGCCAAGGAGTTTGTCCATTGGGAGACCTGGACAGATGGTAAAGGAAGAGTCTCTCTCCAGGAGCAGGTGTAACATCTTCCTCTGATTGGACCTAAAACTGGGTCCTGAGCAAGACCTTCCCTCTTCTTTTGAGGATGAAAAGAGTTCTGTAGACATGGTCTCTGAATCTTCACAAATGGGAGGAGGGTGGGGGACAAAACAAAACACCTTGCTAGGAGAACATCACAGACCGTTCAGCTTTTCCAACACCCTCCACCCTATCCAGCCCAGTGGATTGGCAAAAGGGGATGGGAGGCTTTCCGAAGAGTGAATCACAACTCAGTTTTAAGTTTAAATCGCACTTGACAAGGCCTTTTTGTTGAAATTTTAATTTACCGAGGATGCGCAATCTGAGGACTTTAAAGGTGGGATGAAGAGAGAGCTTTGATTTGTTTGGGGCCACACAGCTTCACACTTCTAACCGGAAGAAACTCGGGACTCCTAACTCGCGATAATGCCCATTCGGCCTGAACAGACCCTACCAGAAAAACCAGGTCTCAGTGACCCTGTGGTAGAAACCGCTAGTGCTTACGTCGAGTCAGACTTACTTTCAGGAGAAAGGAAAGTGGGCAGTGACTGGATACAAGCGAAGATTCGAGAGAACGATAGGAAAATCTGAGGAAAACAGCCAGTAAACCGGACTACCTACGGGTTCTGCTTCTCGCTCGACTCGACAGGATGAGGACAGGTTCTAGCAACTTCTCTCCGTAGCAGGGGAAGGTTTAGCTCGAGTAAATACCAACAGCCCCAGGCTGGATCATTCAAATCTTCCGCCCACCCAGCAACCTATCCCGGACCGCCTGTAAGTTGCGTCAGCCAATCGTCGCACGCCTTCAAGACTCCACCCTTTCCATCACAGCCAATAGTTTTGCTCATCCATCACCCGGAGGCGTGAGCTTTCTCTGGAAGTGGCCATATTTGTCCCGCCCCAGAGCCACAGCAAGAAAAGCAATTGGCCCATCAGCGTTCGCAAAGCTGCTAAGTAAGCTTTGCCTTGCTAGGAACTCAGCGCACCATTGGCTCTACCTCTGGCCAATCGCCACACCCTCCCCGTACTCACTATTCCCTAGACCCCGCGAACCCCGGGAGATTTAAATTACGGCTCGCTAGCGATGACCGTTCGCTTAAGCTAATACTATGAAAGATTAATTTGAGTGGAAGTGTTTATTTTTCCTTGCTTCTTTCTTGTATCGTTTCTCTTTGGTTTTACTAGCCTTCCGCTGAAGATGGAACATTTGCCGCCAGGGCGGCGGATGTTGGGGCGTGACAGGTGTGTTTATGTTAAGCGGCATTGGTCCTTTCTGAGAGCTTTCCTTGTTATCCGATTTTAGTGCACAGCATCTCAGAGATACTAGGTGGGTAGATAGAAAATCCTTTTTAGAGAAAGAAATTGAATCATCTCCTTTAATTCTTACCACAGCCCAAAGGACCTTAAATTTTGTCAGTTTATGAAAGTTTAAATATTGACAAGGTAATATTTTGAAAAAAAATATCTTACTTATTTATTTTGCGGTGGCAAGAATTGAACCTAGAGTACGCTTAGGAGAGCCCTGTATCAGTGAGCTCCACTCCCCAGCTCTGGAAATTCGTAATATTAGGGATTTACATTTAAACAATCCTGTTAGGGTTGGGGTAGGTATTGATGAGACAAAATTGGTCAGGAATGTTGGACGATGGTGTGGGTGGAGATGTCCATTATTTTAGTGCTTAATATTTAATGTGTATACTAATCACCTGGGGATACTCTTAAAATGCAGATTCTGATTCAGTGGATCTGGATTTTAGCCCGAGGTTCTGCACTTCTAACAAGTTCCCAGCTAATGTTGATGTCTCTGGTCCCAGGACCATATTTTTAGTAGCAAGGCATTGTGTTATACTTTTTACTTCAGCGTATATTTGAAATTTTTCATAATTAAAAATTGTTTAAAACGTAGACCCCTAAAATGAAGATTCAATAGGTATAGAGTGGGGCCCAGGAATTATCAAGGCCACCAGGTGCCACCCATGCAGATGGTTAGCAGACCACACTTTGAGGGGAAAAAAAAAGTCAGAAATACAAATTTTAGCCAGGAGTGATGGCGTATATACCTGTAATCCCAGCAATTCAGCATGCTAAGGCAGGAAAATGGCAAGTTCTTAGACCAGCCTCAACAACTTTAAAAAAACCCGTCTCAAAAAACAAATGTAGGGCTGGGGCTGAGCAGTAGTGAGCTTGCCTGGCATGTGTGAGGCACTGGGTTCAATTCTCAGCACCATATATAAATAAATTAAATAAAGGTCCATCAACAACTAAAAAAAAATCTTTAAATATTAAAAAGGGCTGGGATGTAGCTTAGTGGCAAAGCGTCTGCCTTGCATTTGCAAAGCCCTGGGTTTGATCCCCAGTTCCAAAAATAAATAAATACAGAAAGAAAGAAAGCTCGCTCAGAGGTAAAGACCCCTGGGTTAAATCCCCACTATCAAAGAAAAAAAATATGTAAACTTCACCTGATATCAGGATCTTAGTGTTAATAGTGGCTGAGAGGTGCAAACTAGTCAGCTGGTTTTTATCTGAATCCCTTTTCATCTGTAGAAATTGCTTCACCAGAAAAGAGGTGTGTGAAGAGTCTCTGTTCTCTAGAATAGAGATGGTAAGTGTGGCAGTCAGCACAGAGCCTTGTCATGCCAGGTAAGCTTGAAAGTCAGGCTGGGGAGTAAGGGAGTGTGGAATACATTGATTTCTGTCTTAATGACTATAATCACACTTTGTGGGTCACTGTATGCTTTCCTGCAGGTGGGAAGTAGAGACAGATGAAGTTGTCTTGCAGAGGAGGCAAAAGCAGATAGATTATGGCAAGTGCACACCTGGTTACCGGTGCTTTCTACAGCAGGTCCCCAAGTGAGTATAGTTGTGGGTGGTCACAAGAGTATCAACCAATGGTTCAATGTCAGGTGATAGAGGGATGAGAGAATCTGAGTGCTCTGACAATGTTGCGGTATTATTAATTCTCCTGTAATATAGTCCCAAAATAGGTTTCTGAGATTTTTTCTCAAAGAGAAAACGTTGTACTTCGCCTATAAGGCCTTCTACAGCTTTATCCGTTTCCTAATGAGGTTGTTTTCCTCCCTAAAATTTTGACCAACACCCCATGCCTCCAGCCAAGCTGGCTAATTGAAACATACTTGACAAATTATGTTTATATGTATACATACCAAAAAATGTGAAAACATAGGAGGTATTTTATTTTAAAGATATGTCATATATTGTCTTGTATGTTAACTTAGAGGAAGTTATATGTAATTTACCCTTTTAGGAGAATATTAGGGAGGTGTGAAGTTTGGTGCTTAATCTGATTTGAAGATTTTTTGTTGGATTGAAGGTATTGCTTCTACATCTATCCTGGTAATTCTCTATCTAGACTCCTGATTTGTTGTAATAAGCAGGGAGCTGTGTCCTTTCACTTTGACTTCCATCTGATCCATATTTATTGTTGCCAGGGCACAGAGACAGCCAGGGCTTCACCCTCAAACACCAAACAAGAACAGGAGATACAGCCGTCGTTCCTGGGATGCCCAGATCAGGCAATGGAGAAGAGCCCTACATACCTGGGACCCCCCCAGCCAGCCTCTACAGGGCAGGGGGGCTCAGGGGTATGTTCACTATTACTGGTTCTTTCTATGAGTGGTGGGCCACACCTTACTTCTCCTGACTTTGAAAAGGGTTAGATTCTACTAGGTAGAAAGGGAAAATGGTCTGCATGAATGTATGATCTCTTACTCTGCTTCCTCCATAGGCAGGGAATGCAGAGCCCCTTAGAGCTGATGGATTCTACCCCTTTGGATAACCTTCTGGGTGACTGGGTCCAACCCTTGGAGAATCTGGATGAATGCAAGAAAGGGGCCCAGGTAGTATCCTATACCAAAAGTGAAAGGAGTGGAGTCAAAGATGGGGGTCTGACCCATGATGTCAGATGGGGTTTGAAGAAGTGGCCCAAGGACAAATGAAGGAAGTGAAGCAGGAAAAAAAAATAGCAGAACATGAGTGAAAAAACTTGACAACTAAAAGTGGCATAAATAGATTTAATTATGGACAGGAGTATTGGGCTGCACTGGAAGGCTATTTTCTTCTTGATGAAAGAGGATGTAACCTTCCTTTGAAATGAGACCTGAAAACTAACTTGCAGTGATGTGTGTGTTTTCTGTTTTTTTCAATGTTTTACAAATAGTAATGCCAACTTCTTTTACGCAACTATTCAACTTTAGTAAACATGGTTCGTAATAAAAAGCGGAACAATCTAGTAATGAAGAACAAGGACTACAGTCTCAGGCTTTTGGTTACAACCTTTACCTACCACATAGGCAGTAAACCCCTCAGGAGGTTTCATTTACCAAAATAAGATTTTTAAATTTTATTTACTTATTTTTATGTGGTGCTGAGGATTGAACCCAGTGTCTCACGAATGTTAGGCAAGTGCTCTACCACTGAGCTACAACCCCAGCCCCAAAATAAGATTTTTTTTTCATTTAGTGATTGTAAGAAAAAAAAATGTGAATGCATATTTATTTAAAGTGTGTAGCACAGTGCCTAGCACATAATATGGGTAATTATAGGTAAATATATATTCCTACATTATGGCTCCTGCCTCTGCTCCTTCTCTTTGCCAAGGAGAAATGATATGCAGTGAAAAAAAAAATCTATCTACTCCCATTTTCTTAACTAATACCTCACTTTTCCTCTACTTTTGCAGTTTCTAGACTTGGTTCCTCTGTCCTCCCCTTCCAAGCTCAATGTTGAAGATCCCGAAGATCCCCAAGAATGATTCTGCTTTCTAGCCAATCACAGGATCACAGCTATTTACTTGTCCCAGACTTGAGTACGGCACAAAATGTTTAGAAAAAAACAGATGTCCTTCAGGGGGCTTGCTGTTAAATGTTAATAGTGAAGTTAATTACATTACTACTTTTTAACCAATTCAAAAATCTAAAACTCTGTCCTACAAAGAGATCACAAAATGAAGGCATTAAAAACTCTCCCCCCCCCTTTTTTTTTTTGGCTTATCTCACTGATGCTGACATTCAAATTTTCAAATTTACAGAAAAGCTAGAAACCCAATCTCTCACCTACTTTCGTCTACATTCAGTCTCTTTAAAAAGGACACAAACTTTGGCTGAGGTGGGAGGTGGTGGTAGTGGCTGAGACTTAACAAAAAGGTGGTTTCCTTTTCCTGAAGAGGAAATATAGCGCCCGTCAACACCATCTGCTCGTTTCCTCGTTTCCTCCCTTTCTGTCTTAAAGAGAGTCGTCCAGCTGTAACCACCGTACTTCCCCCCCTCTCACCCCCCCCCCGCCCCGCAAGCAACTGAACCGCCTATGATGTCATAATCACAACCCCATTACCTCATCCTGCTGGGGGGGGTGCGTAAAGGGAGGAGAGGAGGTGAACGGCCACGGGCCCTCCTCAGCTTTACAAAGTGTTTTGGGTGAGGGTAAATTACAGAATCAAGTGAGCACATCTCCGCAACCATTGTTAACTCCTGGTTTATAAGGTTTGAGCCGATCTGGCTGCTGGAAGAGGGGCTCCAGGGACTCAGAGTAGGCCCTGATCGGCGCTTGGACTACATTTCCCAGCAGTCTTCACGCCACGGACCGGTCCTTTGCTGGGGGAAGGGGGATTCTTTCAGAAAGGTGACTGTATCGGTCTGGGCGAGAAAACAGGTGAGAAGCAAGTCGCTAATTCTGTTAAGCGGCCCGAAGGTTGTGAGAGACTGAAGCTGACTAGATGTAGGCCTGGAGGGCGAGAGCGACGGCTTTGTTTACCTTCGTCCGACATGGCCTCCCCCACGAGTTTCAAGATATGCTTCCAACTGGACCCTTCCACCTTCAGTAATATTTTGGAGGGGGGTTGACTTATTAGTGAGGAAACCGCCCCATTAATAAATCAAAGCCTCAGGCTCGTTCCCGACAGTGCTACACTAGGAAGATTTTAAGAGAGAAACGACACAGGGCTCTGGACTCCGCAGAAGGTTCAGGGGGATTCTGCGAACGCAAGTGTTCCCCCACTCGCCTCAGAGGCCCGTTGGTTCACGCCGGCGCCTTTTAAGGGCACCGTGGGGCGAACCGAGCGCTCAGAGCTGCTCCGGCCGCGGCCCTGGGAGCTGGTGGAGCCGCGGTAGGTGGCGGAGGGCAGGTGGCGCTGGGGCCTCGGGGCGGGCACCTCGGCCGTCCCTCCTCCTTCCCTTGCTCCCCTCCCCCAGCCCAGCCGTCCGCGCGGCCCGGCCTCGCAGGCCGCCTCCGCGGGGAGAGCACGGGACCTGGTGGGGGAGGGGTTGGCGGAGTCTTAAGTCCCAGACCCTCCCCATCCCTAGTGTCCTGAGTTCGCTTCCCGCGGCCAGATGTTGGAACCCGAGTGGGAAGAGGCCAGCGACAGCCCCTACCTCTGAAAGAGCCTCCCCCCCGTGGGAGGGGGGGTTAGCGTACGCCCCATGCCCCACCCCGCGGGGACAGGCAGGGCAACAGAGGGAGAGGTTGAAGATTGGAGGGGGCCTAGCCTTTTGCTTCTTCATCGTGGTGGGGGGAGGGGTGCTCCCCACTTGTCACCCCTATCCCCACAAGAACCATATGGAAAAAGAGCAGTCAGATCCTCACTTACCTGTTCTTGTACCTCCCTTCCTCCCTCGTGTTTTCCTTCATTCTCCACCAGAGGCGAGGTGCTTGGACCTGGGGGGGGGGGGGAGATCCCCAGGGGATTTGTGACTCTCCTGTCCCTTGGCCTTACTTGATCCTGGGTTGTTCAGGTTTCCACACAACCCAAGCATCCCTGAAGCAAAAGTGTCAGGGGTTACTACTGACCAATAGCAGTGGAGTGGGGGTCTAATCTTTATTTTAGGGGGCTTGTGTTGGAAGAGCCTAGACTGTTAGGCCTGGTGGGGTTGCTGGAAGGGCCTAGCGGCCTGCTGGTCTGTAAAGGGCTGAGCCCCTTGCCAGTTAGGCTGAGAAGTTTTAAGTTTAGTGAACATTCAGGGCTGTCTCTACCTCTTAGATACACAAAATGGAAGGGGTAGGAAGGCGACAAGAGAGAGCTTCTTAACACTTTTTTCAGTGCCTGCTTGAGAAAGAGGAGGCCCCTCGCGGAGCTGGTTTGCCTTCTTTTGTGTCCTGGTTTGATTCCTTATGGCTTCCGTTCCCCCTTTCAGCCTGGCCTGTTTTAGGAAACTCAGGTTGAGAGTATCAGTTGTGTGGTAGTAGTTGCATTGTTCCAGTTACCGCTGTGTGTGGCCACATCCCAATAATTAAAATGCAGAAAAACACAAAATCACTCACTTCACTTGATCCTAGAGAGGGTGGGAGTTTGCTGCTTGTTCAAAGCCCTCATGAAAAGCTTGAAAGAGTTTGCTTTACTCGGTGCTCCTCTTGACTGGTCAGCCTGAGGCCTGGGGTCTCTAGGGTAAAAGCCTGCAGTTAAGTTCCTCTCTGGTTGATCTTTGAGAGCAGAGTTAAGAAACCAGGAGCAGAAGTGATATGAGCTTTAGTTTCTCTCACAAGAACATGGGAGAAACAACTGAAAGGAGCTTGAAGGAAGCAGGAACTTTGTTCAGGGTGGTAGTAATAATTATGCATGAAAATTATAGTTAACTATAATGATGATTGATTTCTGCGTCTTTCTTCCAAAGAACTCAAAAGTGTATTTCTTTGCTTTTCCTTGTGGCCTCCTTCTGAAGTGAGAATTGGGTAGAGATAATTCCCTCCTTTGTAGAGTGTGATCTGCCCCCAAGGTCACAGAAGGAAGTACTGCCTTAGGCTTCCTTCCTTGGTGAGCAGGTAAGGGAGGATGGCATCCAACCAGAGAGAGACCCTATTGCCTTCTTCATCTTAATGATACCATCACTTCTGGCATGCCAAGGCTTTGAAGAACAACAAACAGAAAGAATGAGAAACAGCAGCCTGTGTGGGCTCCTGATTTTTATAGGTCAGATGGTATGTTTTTGTATATTTTGATATATGATGTTATATCATTCCTATGAGAGATTAAGATTATTGTATCCATTTTACTTATGAGTAAACTGAAGAATGTGAAGTGATTGCCAAAACTGCCTCAGCTAATTTGATTAAGACAGATTTCTTGATTGTTACATGAGCTAATGCTACATACATTTTCAGGTGAGCTATCTCTGTGCTGGTCATTTCTGGTTCTCCCTGCCTCAAGACACTAGGTTAAGCTGGGCATGGTAGTACATTCCTGTAATCTCAGTGGTTTGAGAGGCTGAGACGGGAGGTTCACAAATTCATGGCCAGCCTCAACAACTTAGAGAGATTGTATCTCAAAATAAAAAAGGCTGGGATATGGTTTAGTAGTAAAGTGCCCCTGGGTTAAATCTCTAGTAACAAACAGAAGAACCTGGGTTATCCTGCCCTTTTCCTTTGAGCAAGGCTCCTTAAGCAATTGTGTGGGTTTGAAGCCTGTTCTCTAGTAAGAGTGAGTTAGCTTCCTCATCAGAATTCAAACATGGGAAAGAATCTTGATTGATTATATTCATGGTCTTTTGCAGATATTCTAACAACTTAGTTGAATAAAGTCATGAAGTTTTTTTTTTAATCTGTGTAGTTGAAATATAATTGGAATTATCCTAACCATTTATAGGAGAATACACAAAGATATCTATGAAATAATAATATATCAGTTAGTTGTTCAGGCTATGAGAGGACATAAAATCTTATTTACTCTGGTCTAAAATAGAAAGTCATGCTTATAGCCATTGCCCCTCCTTGTATTCTATTTTGTAGTTTAGGAGAAGGTACCTCTTTTAGTTTCTGAGTGGAAGATAAAATACTAGGCTAATCAGGATGGAAATAACCATTTGGGCTCTTTTCTAAGTGGTTCTGGTATTCCAGATAGAAATGGCAGAGCATGAACCAGGTTAGGAATGGTAAATAGGTTTCAACCTATTGCTTGAGAACTCCAGTTTATTTTACTGGATATCTGGAGTTCCACGTTCATTATGTTTCTGAGGCTATGTTGAGGCTTATCAGGAGCGAGCTGTGATCAATTAATGATGTCTGCCAGAGGCTTGGCATAGCGGTGCTGTGGTATGTGTGCCATGCATTTTCCATCACTGGACCAGATATATCTCTAATATCACTTGGGGCTGGTCCCTCTGTAATTGGCAGACTCAGCAGGCATGACTGGAGAGGGAAGTCCCAATGGTGCTAGAATGGTGCTGCAGTGGCAGAAGACGGCTCACGAGTGAGGTCTGGAAGAACGACAGGGAAGACATCCATCATTTGCTCCAAAGTGTGCAAGTAAAATCCTGGGGAGAATCATGATAACCTTGATCACTGAGCAGCTACAGAAACAGACTCTGGATGAGCTGAAATGTACACGCTTCAGCATCAGTCTGGTAAAAGACCAGTCTTCCTGCTTCTCCATGGCCCCTCCCCCTTTTTTCTGAGGCTGTTTGTTGCTACTACTTTACCCTTGTCCTGTAGTGTATAATTATTGTACTTGTACTGAAAGAGGCCACTAATGGCTTAGAACCCAGCCCAAAAGGAAGGGGGCAGGGATTTTTCCATTGATAGAGAAGGGATATCAAAATTGGGTGGAAAAGGGTTTGAGAAATTAGAAGATGTGGATTGTTCTACTGTCTCTAACACCCCTATAGCGAATGAATTGCAGGAAAGAATTTAAGAGGGCTTTCTAGAAATTTGTCAGTGTGCCCTGAACCTAAATCATGATAGCTATTCTTTCTTTCTTAGCCTTTGCCTGATCATGCAGACATCTCCAACTGTGGGAACCCTTTCCAGCTTGTGTCTGGTAAGGCATCATGTGTGTGTTTTGTGTATGCCTCTATCCATGTTTCTTTCACTGGTTTCTAGTGACTAGGACTAACTAGCTATTTTAGTTAGCAAGAACAGTTTTAGAAGAGGATAAGTTTATTTAGTACTCATAGTTTCAGAGGTCTCAATACATAGATGGCCACTCCATTGTTCTGGTGAGGCAGAACATCAGGGTAGAAGGGTATGACAGTGGAAAGCAATTCAGAACACGACAGTCAGGAAGCAGAGATACCACTCACCAAGTCACCTGGAACAAAATACAAACCCCAAAGG